TATGCAACCGGAATTGGTATTAGAAAGTTTAAGTAATTGTTATGAATCGAACATATTAAAAGAAATACTTTTAAATAATAAATCAGTGGGCGCAAAAACCCATATCTTGAATATTTAAATATTAAATATATTAATAATTAATTAATTAGTATTAGATATGTTTTATATAAATATGAAATATATTATATAATTTTTTTATTAAAATCAACAGAAAAATTCATATTTAGCTTAAAAGAAAAAAAAAATGATTGTTTGTTCTCTTGTCTTATTTTTTCTTTAAAATATGATATTGATACTTTATTTTTACCGAAAAATAACCTATTTTAAAAGTATACATATAGTAAAAATTAAATACATAAATACAATCCATATATAAATTCATGATAGAAACCAAACCAATTTCAATGAAAAATAATTGATAATCAATCAAACTTCCCAAGAAAGTTTGTCATATTGGTGAAGGAATTTTTTATTAGGTATACATCTATATTAAATATGTATATTAAATAATTTACTACTTTCGTCCCAAAAAATAACAACCATGGGTTTTTTGCGTATAAATTAATTGTTATATGAATATGTAATACAAAAGAAACAACTATTACTATTAGTTTTTTATAATACAAATAAAATGATATTCGTAGAATAAATTATATGAATATAAGAATATTTTTAATATTAAATACAATAATACAAAAAAATAAATAATACATTTCTTATGAAACAGGGATAGTATTTAAATTTCACTGCATAATTTGTTTAACTTTTAAATTAAAATATATATATACCTCCAAGTACACGAAAACGCGTCATTTTTGCTAACATGCAATAAACTTTAATATGAATTATTGTACAATATATAAGATTATCCGCGTATTTATTGGTCTTTTTATTTTTTCCCAGTTTTGGAAAATCTCAGTATGAAATCCACGTTTGAGAGACATGGCGCGTAGGCTAGGAGCGTAAGCCTAGAAAAAGGTGAATTGGTTTTGAATTATTTTACTTTTTTTAAAATAATCAATCTATGGCCTAAATTGTTGATGGTTTAACCCTTCGAGTGGTATGTCTTATTTTTGCTTGTTCGATTTCTACTTTTGTTAGAAAAGAGAATAACATTTCTAGGGTTAAAATCAGAGGTTTTGTGGATTAAATGGCGGGTTGTCATGGGAATAACATTTCTAGGGTTAAAATCAGAGGTTTTGTGGATTAAATGGTGGGTTGTTATGGGGAGTATATCCGGGCATGTCGGCATCGGCATTACAGGAAAACTGTAGAGTGAGAAAAACTGTTTCTTCTGCTGTTGGTACCGTTACTGGTGGGAGCAGTAGACATTAGTGTGCGGAGATCATGAATAACAATAGAAGATCCCTAATCACAAATTTAGAATTAGATCAGAATTGCGTACCTATGAAGATAGTTACGGTAGAAAATTCCGACCCCAGCTAGTGGCCGAGCATATAATTATTGTTGCTATGTCGTTGGCGTGTTAATGATAAGTTCCTTGCCAGGTCATAGAGGTTGTTGTGTGTTGCTCGATTGCAATGCAACGCTCGTTGACATTGGAACTAATGCTGCCGGGGCAAAATTTAAAAATGGACTTTTATACATATCTTTTTTATTAATATAATTATAAAAAATGTTCAATTTATATTAAATAATAAAATTATTTTTTATGTATCAAAATATTAAAATAAAAAGAATGTGTTTGTTAATATTTTTAGAATGAATTATATTTTTTCATGCTAAACATGATAAAAATATATCAATAATATAAAAAATATAATTTTTTTTGAATTATTAATTTTATTTTATTTTTAGTTGATAGAATATATTATATATATTGTGTGAGCATATATTTTATGATAATATTAATCTTAAAGTGTCAAAAAAATTTATTAAATAAAAGCATCCAAATAGCTTATTTTGTGTTCTCTAATATTTTTGTGTATTTAAAAAATAATAAAAATTTTAGATTAAAGAATTATTTAATTTAAATAAATAACAAAATATAGATTAAATAAAAAAATAAAACCTAAAGAATATAATTGTTTAATAATATAAAATATACCATTTTTAAACAATAATTAAATATAATATTAAAATTAAATATGCATACACAATAAAATAAAAATATAAAATATCATTCACATAGTTTTACAAACTTTCATATTTCAAAATAAAAATACCAAATATTATAAATATTAAACACACATTAAAAACACAAATAAATACATAAGTAGTAAATTAATTAAAAAATAAAACTTAAATTAAAATAATTTATTTAAAAATAAATATAAAATTTATTTATTTATTTTAAGATATTAAACATATTTTAAAACAAATTTATAATACTATTAATTATTTATACATATATATATTACTATTGCGGGCCACTTGAGCTCCATTTTGGGCCGGGCCTGAACTAATGATTACACCGGTGTTTGAAATGAAGCATTTATATGAGTTCAACTATCATGTGACATTGTGCTTTCGACTAGGAAATCGAAGCTTTCAACTATTGGTCACAAAGTTTTCAGTTACGATAGACCTGGACGATGAAGATTTTACAAAGACTAGAGACTATAAAACCATGAAGAATGCAAATATCACAAGAAATCTAGTAGCGGTCAGTCACAAATTCCACCGTCTACTTTGTGGGGCAGTCCAAGGTTCGGCACTCACCTCCCCGTGTTGTGGTATATATATTACATTCTTCCCAATACGTTGACAGGATGAAACTCCATCGTGAGCGTTGTCACTACAGATCATTTGAAGTACATTTGGAGCATCGAAAGGGTGGTACCGACCAATATTGGGTCGCATGGCCATTTGTGAAGCTCCAATGGACGTATACGTACTATTGCCACTGGTTTGTACGTCACCCAACTAGCATACGGTTTACAGGTGACTACTGGCTTCCCAGAGTGTTTGGCTTTGAAGATGAAACTAGCCAGCATTAAGGCCCTAATTCAAATGAGGATTGTCCAGAGGAGGTAGCGTGGAGATCCAACTAACAACACTAATTTTGGACATGTTTTCCTAATAATTTCTATAAAGATATTTTGCAATTTTAGACTAAGCTTGTCATAATTTGTGCCAAAATGCCTTAGTAAATGTGTTTTGTATCTTTCTTGTGCGATTTGATATGCCTTTGTATTGTAAGTATTTCATTTGAGGGCCAGGGTGTTTGAGACCTGGTCGCAATTCAAGAAGTGTTTGTGAATCTTTGGCAGGTTGTTTGTATCAGAAGATAGGCTGAGTTGATTAAGAATTAGCATCATAATGTGCTCTCCAGGAATCATCAACAGGTTTCCCAGGGGGTTACCCATCCTCAAATTACTCTAGAGCAAGCACGCATAACTCTATAGTTCTTTCAATAGGTCTTCCGAAAAGAAATGTGCACATTATTGACATGAGTAGTCTATTCAATCCATCTAATTACCATTCCATCTCGGATGGCCTGACACCGGCTCATTCATGGGAGCTGGCCTATCACCGGCATAACTCCGAAGGTATTACAACCCTGGTCCTCAATGATGTGCCAAAAATCCGAGGAAATTATGAGTTTAAGCCATCTTTGGTAGCTCTAGAAGATCAGGAATTCTTTGGTGGCCTGAAGAATGAAAGCCCCAATGACCATCTTAAGAATTTCGCCAGAGTGTGTTCAACATTGAAATACAACAAATATCAGAAGATTAAACCAAGCTCCATCTATTTCCATTTTCACTCTATGGCAAGGCTCACAAATGGATTAACTCTCACCAGACACTGCCTACCTTCGCGGAACAAATTCAACAATTTTCTCACTTCTATCCTTCCAGCAAGACTGTGCTACAAAGATTGGAAATCCCTCAATTTAATAAGAAGTAGAAGAGACCTTGCCGCAAGCTTGGTCGTGCTTCAAAACCATGCTTCGCAAATGTCCGCACCATGAACTTCTAGATCACCTTCATATTCAGACTTTTTACACTAGGGTTGATGTTCAGATAAGAGCCACTCTAGACTTAGCCACTGGTCACTAATTAATGAGCCGAGGTGCCGCAAATACATGGAAAATAATTATAAAAAATGTCTTCCAGCAGGAGCAATTGGCCAAAGACAAATGGCCAAACAAGTAAGGAATCATATGAATTACCTGATACAATGGCGCAAGATACTAAAATAGACAATTTGCAAATGCAAGTTAAGATCTAACCAAGCTGATTAAGCAAGATAGGATAAATAATAAAAAAAAAAAAAAACATCAAGCAATGGAAATTGAAAATCAAGAGAATAATTAAAAGGCTAATGGTGAATCGCAAGCACCCGAAAAATATGAACTAGAAGTAGAAACTGTATGCTATACCTGAGCATCCAATCAGCAACCACCCTATCAATAAAGGAGATTCCAACATCAAGGAAATAGACACCAGAATTTCCATGAGCAGCAGCCCCAACCATATTATCATTGTAATGCCCCAATTTCAGAATGTATAAAATAATACTCCCTCCGTCCACTTTAAAGGTTTACATTTACTTTTTGCGTGTTGATATTTAAATATTAATTATTATATCAAAATATAGTACAAATTAAGTAGAAATGACAAAAATACTTCTATCAGTGTCTTATAATACAAATATATCAATATATATATATATAATATATATTTTATCTACTCACAAAAGGATGATCATATTTTTTATATTACTTATGTACTTCTTCATTTATAATATAACAAATACTTCAAACTAAAATTCTAAACATACACATCAGATCACACTTTTAAGAACAATGCATCCTACAATAAGCATTGTAGATAACATGTTTGTATGTATGAATATTTACTAACCTCCAAAGCATTCCGTCGTCGTGCTATCAAGCCACAACCTCTGGCGAAGTCCTTTCATCTACAAGCTCCCGTAGCATAAATGGATGTACTCCTCCCAATCTAATCTGCGTCAAGAACATCATCGAACGAACAAACAATACAAAATACAGAAGGGGCAGAGCAACTCGAAAATGAACAAATGCATGCATGCCATATTGCTATATTCTTCGAATTTTTTATACTCCTGAATACAAACTTGCTAGTGTTGTCTTCATCTCTCTCTCTATCCATCCCTCCAAAGGAAAAAATGTGTAACACCAAAATTTTACGTATGCACGTGTAAGACAATTTGCCTACGAACAATACACTCATCCACGACTATGCGTAGCAAAACAAATCAGGGCAAAAAAAACCAAAGAAGGAAACAGAAATCGTCAAACAAACAAACAAGCTATTGAACTAATTCCTCCACCAACTCATCGAATAGTTCTGTAGCCAATTCATTATAGACAATATTCATACCTTCCTCCACCTCATACCATTCGTTGAGAGATTTTCCGGACAGAACTTTGCTCTTTTCTTTCTCCTCGGTGATTAGCATTGTCCACAATCGATCTTCAACCTCATCCCGTCTCATGTTAGCACAGAGAGTGCTTTTTATAGATGGGAAAAGGTTTGGTAGTGGAAAGAAAATGCACGCCAGCGCAAAATTCACGTAGTCAAAAAGAAGCTGCCTGTCGGACTTTTTCCATGATGCCTGCTTTCCGTATGTTTTTTCTAGTTCCTCAAACACCGAGGGGCTTATGGGGCATTCGGAAGTATGCCACATGTTGAAATCTGTACATAATGCTGTACTGAAAAATCCAGCCACATCTAGAACATCAACCATGTAAGAGAACTTTCGGCTTTCTTCGTCTCCCAACCACATTCGAATCTTTCTTCCGTTGTGAGGGAGATCAGAAAACTGCTCCTCGGAATCATAATCCTCAGAGACACCCATCTGGGATCCTTCCGAGTACGGATCTTCCATCTCCAAGTTTAAGACCTGAAGCTGCATCTGGGGACCTAAAATCAACAAAGGAAGAATATCACTCAGGCATGTGTTGCTTGACATCATAAAAGTAAACGGAAAGTCCACCAGTCCACAATTTCATTAAGATCTGAAGATGATATCAGATTAGATCAAATGTGAAGGAGCCAAGGAGAAACAATGTGCAACGATTCTATCTAACTTGCCAATGAATAAAAGTATATATATATACTATAACTATAAGTATAAGAAAAAGTATTACCGACATATTATTTGTACCTATATATATGTGTGTGTCTGCATGTGTGTGCAGAATGTCATGCTTTTTTACTTTGCGTCATTTAAATTTGGTTAAGAACTATAAAATAGCTACCACAGTGTATTTGTATAAAAGATTATTATTATTATGTAATATAATGTATGAAATATGAATTCAATTTATATAACTATGAAAAATAGAATCATGAATCAATTACCTATGTCGTCAAAGCATTGATCAGTTGAATAGTATCGTCCATAAATTGCTCCAAGAACTGAGTCGGGGCTATGCTGATCGGTTCTCTTTGGATTCTCAGGAAATTCTGGACTGCCGATTCTGGAACTGTTTGAATAAGTTGATAATTCTTCAGAAAATTCATTCGCCAATGCCTGCTTTTCAGTAGAACACGCGCAATTATAAATTGAGATCAAAGTCATCAAACTCATACACAACAACTAATTGAAAATTTCTTTGTTTATTAAAAACATCGAAACTATGACAGCCCATGGGACACCCTGTGAAGTCAAATGGTGATTTTTAGGTTGACAGGCAGATCAAAGAACATACATAAGTTTCGTGAAATTTTCTACACTTGACGGGAATATTGTTTCACATGATCAACTGTTATTGCATAAATCTAAAATACAAACCACGAAAATTCGTTCTCTTTGTAGTATCTACTCATCCTTATACCAAATGTCATTTTATCCTTCAAAAAATTGAAGTGAAAGCAATATTAGTATATTCATTTTTGGTCTAAATCAATTGCAAACGATATTTTGATCACACCAACATATGGCAAGCCATTCCACAACAAAGCAAAGACAATGAAGCGTTTTTGGCAAATTTTTAAAGTGGTAATAAAAGGAAAATAACATACCAGAGACTCATAATTCCCTGAATCAATATTCATTTCATCCTCGATATCTCGGTTAGAAATTCGCACACTCTGCCACACTGTCTTGTCAGCAAATGGAGAAGTTTCAAATTGGTTGCAGCTGCTGCCATATTTTGGTTCCAACACATGGACTGCTTTACGCCTTTCAGCCCCCTCAGAAAAATCAATTCGTCGAGCCACTTTCTTTCTTGTCCCAAAGCTATGTGGTTTGAGAGATGATTGATTTGTAGGAAGATGTGATACATGGTCATTCTCCATATTTTGTGGGGTTGATACAGCGGAAAACGTTTTGCTGGTTGGGAGTTTGCGAGAGGCTTTGTTGATGTTTCTCACACACCCCATACAATTGCTAACATCCTTGCCTTGATTTCTATACCCTGATTTTGAATGTATGCCCGACTTCCCATCTTTGAAGCCATGTACTACCTTCTCCAACTCCCAACCAATCTTCCAAGGCTTAATTTTTGTCTCTTTTCCTGATTTACGAAGCTCAATCAAAAAATCCTTACTCGTCTCACAAAAAGATTGTTCGCTTCGATAGCTGGTTCTATCCATCGAATTTGCAAGAAGCACCTCGGAAGGTTCCAACAATATTATTCTTTCATCGCTTTTACCCACCACCGAAACATGTCCCAACTCATCCTTCACTGCATCCACTTTCACGTTCTTTGTGCCAATAGAGACCAAACTCTTGTTACGCACACATATCGCAGAAGTCTTGCGGACATAGCCGTCGGAAAGAGCTCGCCGGTTTTTGCCTAATTGCTGCCTAGGCCGCAGCTGTTCAAGCCCCATTATCCTGGCAATTACACTCTCTGTTTCTGATTTCCACTCCATTTGACTCTTCTTCATCTGGATCAACAAATTCATGCTAAATTAATCAATCACTGCAGCTACGCGTAAGACATGAACATAAATCCATGTCAAATAATCAACACGACCGTATTATCCCCAATTCTGAAATCAAAGAAATCAAACATATACATATCTCTACAGAAACCCTAATCCTACTTCAGAACATGATAACAAATTGAGGAACTACTAATTCAATTTCCCACAGTTAACAAACTTTAGAACAATCGATTCAAAACTCCACCGAATTGTTCATGAAATTGCCCACACCTATAATCGAAAAGGAATAATAACTGCTAGAAACCTACCGTTGGCAGCTCCCGCCAAAATTCTAGAAATGGAAATCCTCGGAAAACCAACCAGGCGCGGGAAATTACTCGGAATCTTGGAGGCGATCGCGAGGGAGATATTCCGGCGGCGGTGCAAAGGCGATCTCAATCGTCGATTCCGATTTCAGCTGGTGCTTGCAAAGAAATCGATGGAGGGATGGATGTGTAACACGACAGGAGAGGTGAGGCAACGGCGAAACCCCAATTCCTCTGATGGAGGCGCCGACATTAATGTGGTCAGCGCGAAATTTCCGCCAACACTGCGTACGAATGTATAATCATTGGCCTAGTCAACAATCGCCTGACACGTGTCATCCTCCACTTTCCACGAAAGATTAATAATGATAACAGTATAACATACTATATCCTATGTATATATAAATGTATATATAACTACAGTAAAAGGTGTGGACCACCTTCTCTTAATTACTGGTATTTTAGAATTTTGAAATTTTCAGATTAAAAAGATAAAAAAAAATACTCAGCCAAATTATATAGTTTTATTCAAATTTTATAGTTTTTTTTACAATTTTTTTCTCTCATACTCACGTATTTCTTTGAAGAGAGTTTTAAATTACGCTTTCAATCATTTGTGTTCTCAGATAATTTTTATATTTTGCTTTGGGTTGAAGAATATGGTTCTTTGAAAAGGGTTTCAAATTACGCTTTCAACCATTTGTCACACCATTTGTTTCTTTAGAGAATTTTCACTTTGGGTTGAAGAATCTAGTTCTTTGAAGAGGGTTTCAGATTACGCTTTCAACCGTTTATCGCCTTAGATAATTTTCATTGATACGCATTTGTCTCCTCATATAATTTTTATATTATGCTTTGGGTTGAAAAATTTGGTTCTTTGAAAAGGGTTTCATAAAGAGTGTTTCAGATTACCCTTTCAATCATATGTCGCCTCAAAGAATTTTTATTGATACGCATTTGTCTCCTCAGAGAATTTTCATATTTTACTTTGGGTTGAAAAATCTGGTTCTTTGAAGAAAGTTTCATATTACGCTTTCAACCATTTGTCTCCTCAGAGAATTTTCATTGATACGCATTTGTCTTCCCAAAGAATTTTGATATTTTGCTTTGGGTTGAAGAATCTGATTGAATATTACAGAATAATTTGTATTAAGGTAGTTCCGTTGTTATTTATACATCTCAGAAATTCAGAACAATTTTAATATTTTTCTACATTTAATTGTTAATTGTTCAAAAATTCGGAACAATTATCATATTTTTCTACATTTAATTGTTAATTTTTTTTATTTCAATTTGTTAATTGTTACTTTGTTTCCATTTTTTCTTTTAATGCAATTCTCGACATTGATGGTGCTAACTGTGGAGTGTGGATGGATTTGGATCTGAAGTTCTCTTGATGTGGTAAGTAATTTTTAATTTAAACGATTTAACTATGTCCTATTTTATTTTATTTATTTCTTTGAATGATAGTAATTAAATTAAAGCAAATTATGACTTTCCGCTTGTCTCTGGTGTAGTCGACTTAGGTGGACCCACCATTTTCTTATTTTTGTTGATTACTTACTTCTTTTTAATAAGTAAATATATATATTTCTTATCTATTTATATTTATATAGATGAATACCGTCCAAGCAGAGCAAAAAATTGCTCGATTACGACGAAGAAAATAACTCAGTTTAAAGCAGAGTATTTTTTTTGTAAATAAATAATTATAATTTTTCTTTTATAATTTATCTTGCACATCATTCTGTTTATATATATATATTATATGAAGTATCAAGGTTGTTAGTATCTTTATATCTTTTTTTTAGATAGTTTTATGGAGAAAATCTAGATATATTTATATATTTGTTTAGAAAGTTTTAGTATTTTTTAGAAAGATAATGTATATGTATTAATTAAAAATTTTGAAGTACTTATTTTCTAATAAGTAAATATATATTTCTTATCTATTTATATTTATATAAATGAAAAAATAATGCCAAAAAATTATTTGACTGCATTTACAACGTTTGCAAGACCAGATGCTCCATCTCCGGTGTTTCAAGTTATGACCGTAGATTGGTGTGAAGAATATTCACATATTTTGAAAAGACCTTAACAATTATAACTATTTTTTTCTATTTTTTTTGGAATCATATATTTTTCTCCGTATTTTATAAAATAACTTTGACTTAAATGTTATGATTTATATTATATACGATTCTATCTGCAATATTTTTGTTGAGCAAGAAAAAAACCAATGTGTAGGGTTTTCGAGAATGGACTTATAAAATTGGACTAAGGATTGGTGTAAAGTCTAATGGGCCTGTAAATGGCAGTAAGATCCTAAATGGGTCTGAATATAAGCCAAACGGCCCAAGAGTTATTTAGAAATGGGTTTTTCAGGAGAAATCTATGATTAAGAGGTCGGACAAGGAGAGGTCGGACGAAAAAGGGAAAACAATATGCACTCAGGTCGGGTGGCATATAGGTCGGACAAAAGGAAGACGGACGAAGAAAGATGAAACGGCCGATACTGAGGTCGGGCAAAAGGGAGTCAGGAGAAAAATGATACGGCCGGTACAGAGGTTGGGCAAAGTGTAAGGTCGGACGAAAAGAGATATCGCAGTGGATATGCAGGTTGGGCCAGCCGTCCAATTAAGGCGGTAAGATGTTTAGAGGCGGTCGGCCGAACCAGTTGAGTGTTGTAACAGATGTGAGCGGTTGGTGAGTCGGTTAAGACACGTGCCGACAGAGGAGGACCTTGAGGGCGGTTGACGGCGGTTGCTGTAGGATGATTGAGAGAAGTTACAACCGGCGAGCGGATATGAAGGCACGACCTGGTTGTGGCGGTTGACATAGGTTTTAAATAGGTCTGTCCATGACCTACAGAAACCATCTTCAATCGACATCAAATTCAATCGAATTGCTTTTGGGGATCACCACTTTACTTTTTCAGTCTGTAGTATTTATTTTCCTATTTTACTTATGTATCGTACGGTGCTTAGGGATTCTTAAATCTTAGGCATTTTATTTTATCAAATTCGAAGATAATTTCTATTTTTGAATTTTACTTTTTATTGTTGAAAAATTGCATCAACAATTTGGCGACCACAGTGGGAGTAAGGCAAGATTGCCGATCCTACGTCAAGAGAAAATTTTATACGATTGAGATCCGGCCGAATCATCGGAAGGATCCATATGGCGGGTTCACAACCCCAAGTCTCTTCAATAACGGCGGGGGAAACTATTTCACCACCTGCCATGCCAAATGCAGGGAAGTCCCCCAAGCACCCGCCGATTGGGTGTCTTATGTTCAACATTTGAACAATCAGCAAACTCTGGCTATGCAAAATATGTTGCGCGAGCAACAAACCCTCATGTTTCCTGAGCAACAAAACTTTATGCAAAATATGCTAGATCAAGCTTTATCAAGGGTTACTCTGCAACCCACTCAGTCACCGCCAGGGATGTCACCATCCAGATTACAAGCAAATTTGGCGGGGCCATCATATGTAGACAGCATTCTTCCAAGTGCCACTACCAGGGTTACCAGGGGAAAGACTCCTCTAACATACCCGAATAATGTTCCACTGGGCATTAGAGCCGAACCAGCCTTTTCCAGAGAAGAAAGATTAGGCGGTCAGGCTCATAACCCCATTCCTGTGTTCGATCCTATTCATCCTAGAGTGGATCCGAAAGACATCGCTCACGTTCTGCGGATGCATTTCGGAATGAATCCGCAAACGGTGAACAGGCCGGCCTACCAAAGACCATTTCCAGAGAGAATCATCAATGAGCATCCTCTTCCATGAAATTATAGGCCACAAGATTTTCATTCTTTCTTAGGAGAAGATGTAGCTTCGACCATTGAGCACGCGGGACGCTTCACGGCTCAGTTAGAGGAAGTGGGCAATAATCCGTTTCACAAATTACAGTTGTTTGAACTATCTCTCACAAGAACAACTTTTTCCTGGTTTGCGAATCTTCCGCCAGGACAGCTACAAACTTGGGAAGGTTTGGAGGCAGCTTTTCATGCAAGGTTCTTTAATCCCCTTCCGACGGTCTCACTTACAGATCTCTTGGAGATTAGGCAAATGCCAGAGGAGACCGCGTATCAATTCATTGAGCGGATACATCTAATGAAGCGACGTTGCCCGACAGTCATTAAGGAAAGCGAGATGACCAACATGGTGGTCAGGAATATGCATACACGACTGCGAGAGGCTTTAACGGCCCACAACGTTCAAGATCTGGCCAGTTTAGCATCCAAAGCGGGAAGGTTAGAATCTCTTTTTAGAGAAAAAGATCACAACTTCCGGCGGAACAAGGTCCAACAGATGACCAGTGTTGATTCAGAAATGTATGCGCCAGATGATGAGCAGGGAAGTAGCGTTGAAGAAATGGCGGCTAAAATTGTAAACGGCAAGCCTTATGTGTGTTCCAAATTGAAGCCCTTTCGAGGAGCAGAAGAGCGGGAACAACCGACCTTTGACGCATCTAAAGCAGATGAAATCTTCGATATTCTTCTGGCGGATGGTCAAATTCGCATCCCTAAAGGTCAACGGTTAGCAACCAGGGAGGAGATAAAGGGAAAGCCATACTGTAAGTGGCATAATTCTTTTACGCATTACACTAACCAATGTACGCATTTCCGAAAGGAAATACAGAAGGCTATCAAGGCAGGAAGGTTCAAATACGTGACAATGGGAGTAGAGCAGCAACCTTTCCTAAAAGTGACTACTGTTGTAGTCTCTGTGCGTTATTCACAAAGCACACAAGGAGATAATGAAAGACAGGGAGGTACTGAACGGAGGGAGCATAAGCCAAAGGAAAGGGAGCTGGATCAAGAAGACAAGTTTAAGACCTGAGAAAACAGGGTGGCTGAAAAGTGGGATAAAAAAGATGGATCCTTCGAAGTAGAGTTGAAGGACAAAGTGGTGGTGCGAGATCGACCAACGCGCAAGCCACAACCAGTCCATGACAAATGGAGCCGGAACAGAAAGCCTTTGCCAATAGACATAAATCCCTGATTTCCAGGTATGAATTGTACACAAATCCGTAATGCTAAGCGTAGGTATGCAGCTCGACACGGGAGGCGAGCAGACAAAGGGAAGGAAAAGAAGGAAGTGTCACCCAAAAGAAAAAATGCGATCGACCAAGTACACGAACACGGGGAGATCGGAAGGCCGATCAAGAAGGCTAGATGTTTCCGGTGTCAATTCTGTAGACGGATCAACATCGATCCCGAAATAGAAGCTGCCGAAGAAAAGGCTCCTGAGATAATTTTTGGGTCATT